CACAAATAAGGTCAGTTGATGTGCCAAGGTTATTCAATGGGGAAAGAATACTGTTTTCAGTACACGGTATTGGAATAATTGGATAATGGTAAGGAAAACATGAACCTTGACCCTTACCTCACATCACACATAAAAAATAAATTTAAAATGGAACATAGACCTAAATTTAAGAGCGAAAACCATAAAACTTGTAAAAGAAAACACAGGAGAATATTTTTGTGATCTTGAATGAATGAATGAGTCACTAAAAGCATAAAACAAAAAAGAAAAATGATAAACTGGAGCTCATCAAGATTATAAACGTTTGTTATTTAAAAGATGCTACCAAGATATATGAAAAGTCAAGCTACAATCTGGGAAAACATATTTACAAATTAATTGCCGAACAAAGGACTTATTTGTGGGATATATAAAGAGTTCTTTGTAACTCAGTTAGAAAACTAATATTATGAACAGATTGTCCAAAGAAGTTATACAGATGTCCAACAAATATATGAAAAGATGCTCAACATCATTAATCATTAGGAAAATGCAAATTAAAACCACAATAAGATGCTACTATATACCTTAATAATGGCTAAAATTAAAAAGACTTCCTGCCCTGCTGAGTGCTAGGTTGGTGGAGCATTCTATGAACCAAAGGGTTGCCAGTTCCATTCCCAATCAAGGCATGTGCCTAGGTCAGTGATGGCGAACCTATGACACGCATGTCAGAGGTGACACGCAAACTCATTTTTTTGGTTGATTTTTCTTTGTTAAATGGCATTTAAATATATAAAATAAATATCAAAAATATGTCTTTGTTTTACTATGGTTGCAAATATCAAAAAATTTCTATATGTGACACGGCACCAGAGTTAAGTTAGGGTGTTTCAAAATGTTGACACGCCGACCTCAAAAGGTTCGCCATCACTGGCTTAAGTTGTGGATTTGATCCCTGGTCAGGGTACATGCAGAGGACGGCCGATCAGTGTTTCTCTCTCACATTGATGTTTCTCTTTCTCTCTCTTTCTTCCTCTTTCTAAGCATGTCCTCTGGTGAGGATTACAATTTTAAAAAGACTTCCTACACCAAATTTTGGCAAGGTTGTAAAAAACTGGAATGCTCACACTGGTGGCAAGACTATATAATGATACAAAACTTTGGAAAATTGTTTGGCAGTTGTGTTGTTTTTTTTAATCGAAAGGTATATCTTCCATATGACCAGGCAGTCTACTCATAGATATTTATCCAAGAGAAAATAAAGGATGTGTTCACACAAAGCCTTGTAGAGGAATCTTTATAACAGTTCAATTTGTAGTAGCCAAAAACTGGAATCAAATCCATTGTTCATCTGTTGGTGAATGAATCAGACAGAATGCTACTTAGCAGTCATAAGAAAAGAATTATTAATACACATAGCAACATGGGTAAAGAGCAAAATAATTTTGCTGAGTGAAAGAAGCTATACTGTGTGATTCCATTTATATAAAAATCTAGGAAATGCAAACTAATCTATAGTGACAGGAAGCAGATCAGTGGTTGTTTGGGGAAGAGGGAGGGAAGGGAAGGGGTTACAAAGGAGCATAAGGAATCTTTGGATGTGATGGATATATTCATTATCCTATTGTGGAGATGGCCTCAGGTGTACACACATGTCAAAATTTATCTAATTGTAGACTTTAAATATGTTCAGTTTATTGTATTTCAGTTATACCTTACTAAAGCTGTAAAAAATTGAACAAAGATTTAAATAAACTTAACCAAAGAAAATATATGACTGGCCAATAAACACATGAAAGTATGTTCAACCTCATTAGTCACTAGGAAAGTGCAAAATAAGTCATAGTGAGATACCATTGGAGTAACAAAAAATAAAAAGATGAATTCCAAATATTGGTGAAGTTGTAGAGCAACTGGAACTCTTAGACATTTTTGGGTGGAAATGCAAAATGGTACAGCCACTTTGTATAACAGTTCACTGTTTCTTATAAAGTTAAACATAACACTTATATGTAACTAGCAATACATACTTATAAATATTTACCCAAAATAAATGAAAACATGTTTACAGAAACATTTGTATTAAAATATTAATAACACCTTTGTTTATAAGAACTGAAAACAACTTAAATCTATGAATAGATGAATGGATAAGTACATTTTGATATCTCTATAATGGTATATTACTAAGTAATAAAAAGGAATGAACTACTGATATGCACAATTATTGCTGAATCTTTAAAACATGTTGCATGAGCCCTAACCGGTTTGGTTCAGTGGATAGAGCATTGGCCTGCGGACTCAAGGGTCCCGGGTTCGATTCCGGTCAAGGGCATGTACCTTGGTTGCGGGCACATGCCCAGTGGGGAGTGTGCAGGAGGCAGCTGATCGATGTTTCTCTCTCATCGATGTTTCTAACTCT